CATCATTTGATGAGCAGACTGGCACCTAAGCTGTTCAGCGCCAATGCATCTATAAGCCTGTAGCCTATTTCCCTGAGTTTACTTTTTGTCAGAAATTTCCACGCTGCTGCGCAGATGTGATGTCAAGCACGCCCATGTCAAATATGTCAGACCTTCCAAACAATCAAAGTCTTATATTCAAGGTGGATTTTGTGGAAACTCAGACACGGCCTGCATCCAGGTCAACTCACACAACAACGGCAACTCCAGGTAAGGGAAAAAATGTAAATAATAAAATAAAATACTTGTAAAGTACAAACATGAGATATGAGAAGAAGCAGAAGAGTGCTGCGGTTCTGTGTCTTGGCCACAGTGGGTATTATCATTAGAAAACTCTGACATGATCTCTTTAAATACTTTTAACTGACTTTATTAGAAAGGTACAACCTTTTTAATAATCATTGTTGGTTTGAAATTAAAACAAAGTTAAATAAACATAGCTATGCAAGTATAAACCCATTGTATAAATCCATTAAATTTGTGTGTTTAAGCATTCTTTTAAACATACTTCTGACTAAACAAAAGGTGTGGGGGTTAGGGTCTTTGCTCAGGTAACCCAGCAGGCCGTGGGAGTGGGGCTTGAATTCAGATACTCAGGATTCCAACCGCAATGCCCTAATCACTAGACCGCCACTCCCCAAAGCAGCTATTAGACAAAGCTGCAAGATGGTTTCTTTTTATGCCAACCATTGGTCATTAATAAGACCCCAGGATACTTGACCATGTTAGCTTGAGGCAGAGAGCAACCCTTTGATTTAAAAGGTCCGGAAAGGGTAATGTAATATTCTAATCTTATCTAAAAGGAACTTATATATCTAATTAAGAACATTAATGTAGGTGATTTGGAATCAGTATAGTGGGTAAAATCAGTTATTTATACCCCACTTCATGGCTACAGCGCTATACAATCTGACGACAGACAGGTATAATTACCTCATAATTGCATTGAATGTTTTGGTCCTTTCTGTACTTTCATAAGAAATAGCATAAATAAAAAAACAAAACAATATATTGGTAAGTGAAAAGCAAGGATCTCTGTAGTTTGCTTCCACATTTGCAGATAACTCACAAAACCGAGGAATGCTAGCACTAACTGACGGTGAAGTGGACTGGGGACCCTAAATGTCCTGCAGGTATGAGCAAGCATCTGAAAGCCTAATGACTTTCCCACCTCCCTGCCAGTACATGGTGAGATACTGCCCCACCACCTCCCACAACCACCACCACTACTACCAATCACTCTGAAATTAAGAAATTAGTAGGTGAAGAGCAGCATAAATGAATTGGAAACAAAGCACAAGCTGTGTGTTTCTCTGCTTCCTCTGCCTTAAGGTTTTACAAGGATTTTTCACTGCTATTACTAATAAGTCCTACAGCATGGCAAGTTTTTTTTTCTAAAATACACCCCACATCATACAGATCTAATACATTTATTCATAAATAAAATGACAAGCCAACTGTCTGACCACAGACTCCCATTCTCATTGAAGTCTTCTTCTGTTAAATTTTTCCTGCATTTTTAGGTTAAGATCAGACTTGACAAGGACAGACTGTATAGCTGAGATAATTGTGCTGAGCGTGCCCTTGTTCTGCAGTCAGTCTTTATATTTGTAAAGCAATTAACTAGATTAGAAAGGGTAATCAATAACGTCACCTAGTGCAACCCTGCTGCCATCTTTCCCCCTGGAAAAGGAGAGCATGCCTGTCAGAGCCTGGTGAGTCTAACATGTTGATTCCACATTTTCTGGTATATTTACGTTCATTGTCTTTATTCCATATTGCTCTTTATGTTTTTAGATATATCCTGACTATTTCATAAGGGTTCTACGCAATTATGCATATTCTACGTTTTTCCTTCATGCATCTAAGTAGTAATTGATTGTTAATTGATTCTTAACCACACTGCAAATAGAAATAAAAGTAACTTTTCATAGACCTTATGAGATAATCAGAGCACTGTCATAAAATCTATTTGTAAATATGCTGACCTACTGTTTGGATAAAAGAAACCACAGTCAGGACACCCGTCTAGTTTCTTTAGGAGCAGACATAGTGGATAATTTGTCATTTTAAGTTAATTGAATGATGACAGCATCAGGGTGAGATCATACCCATATGTCCTCAACCAATTTCCCAACGTGACTGTGTCCAGTGTCTGAATACACACAACATGGATCACATTTGTTCCCTGTCAGGTACGTTGTTAGTCTTTTTTTTATGTGGAAAGAGACACATTTCAGGAGCATTTATTTTGAGGAAATTATTTCTGTATTTACTTTTTTTGCTAGACATACATTTTCTGGCCATTTTCCTTTTTTTTGTTGTCATATTATATCTTAAAACCAGTGATTTGTTGTTTACTCTAAAATTAATACATCAAGATCTGAAATGTTTTGCATACATTTATAATTTGCCCCCTTACCTTTGAATAAAATAAGGCTAAACCAATCAGAGGTCAGAGGTCACCTCATTGGTAAACAGAGTCTACCTGTGATTACTTTAATCTCAGTATCAGTACAGCTGTTCTGTGAACCATATCACAGGTTTGTTAGAGAAACTTGTGATATGAGTACACACATCTTGTTTAAAAACAAAAAACACCAGAGACAAGTCAGAGTTGAAGTTTAAACTAGATGTATGCAATTAAATAATATTTTAAGCTCAATGTGCTCTGTTCAGTCCACCATTCAGAAATGGTGGATTGAACAAGATATTATCTTTTTACAAGTTAAGCTGACTGATAAAGCAAATAAAACATTTCATAATAGTCTAGAGGACCCTGGTTACTATGGAGAACCTGAGGAGATCCTGAGCTAAGAGGTAAGAGCTTTTATATGTTGTGCACTCCAAAAACCTAGGATGGTTAAATGAAAGAAGTAAATGTTAATGAAAAGCAGTGCAAACCTTTTTTTTTTTTTTTAGTTCAGTTTTACTTAATACATGTCATCCCACTTTACAAAGACATTTCAATCAAATCAAACAGTGGCATTGGTTCAAAGTTTTCAATATAGTAAACCCAATTAATTGCTCACTCACTGACGCTGCAGAATTTGCCACTCTTGGATGAGCATGCATTGTGTTGTTGACTGCAATAATCACTTACACTGAGAATACATGTCAGTGAAGAGGAAATGATTCCATTTTTAACAGGAGGAACCCTCCAGCAGAACCAAGAACAAAGTTTTAGTTCATATATTTTATGTCTATAAATATGAATACTTTGTTTGTTGGTTCAAGGCATATTTTATTTTTGTCAATGGGCAATAAATAGGTAATTACGGTAAAAGAACAAGTTAAATTGACACTACTTCATTTGTATACATGTTGATTTTAAATGTTATTGAACGTTGCTGAAAAAAGTATTTTTTCAATTCTAGCAGAGCAGTAAAGTAGGTGACTGTCACTTTAAGAAAAGAGCGACGTTCATGGGGTAGTCTTTCAAGTCACTCACCTAGTTGAGAGTCTGGAAGTACAGAGTAATATGTATTTTTTTCTTTTTGAGGAAACTTTATCTGTGACTACTTCTGTGAGATTAAAAGCTGTGGAATACATGTGAAAGCTTTTCTTGTTTAATTAAAATGTGAGTAAAACCAAAGTATGGAAGTCTCAGCAGCACATCAGGCTCAGCTTCCGCAGTCTTCTGCTAAGGCTGAAAGGAGGTTCAATGAGAATAAAGCAGACACACAAAAGGGATATAGAAGCACTGATCCATGAATATTTGTTACAAAGGGTAATGGCAAACATGACAAACATGACTTCTAATAGGAGTTTGCTGCAAATCAATGTAATGGAGACAGATGGAAAAAGTGGAAAGATATGCTCTGGTTAGATGAGAACATTTCTGAAATGCCACAGTTGGGTTAAGGTTTTGAGGACCCAAGTGCAGAGGCGAAGAGGCAGAGATGAGTTTTACTGATTTGATAAAGTAGTCACAAGCAGCTGAGGCAAAAATCCAAAATAAGGAATATAGAAAACACCACAATCAAGGGGAAATCAGGGAAAACATACATGATGAGCTGCTAGACAACAACTACAAATACAAAGAAGCTAAGAACAAACTTAAACAGAGGGCAGAACCCTGACATGAAAAGTATTTTCAGCATCCAGAATGTTTAGAGGAAAATAAATACTGTCTATCAATCTGAACACAAGCATCACAGTGAAACAAGGAGGCAGTATCACATTGTGAAAGTGCTTTTCTTTACCTATAGATTGGTCATATATTGGGAGTTAAGTGGAGCTAATAACAGGCTGGATGAAAACTTGATAGATCCATATTCCTCAAATGAAAATGAACTGTCAAAATCCAGACATGAATCCAAAAGAGAATTTGTTGAAATACATAACGTAAACAGATGCTCCCAATGTCACTGAACTCCGGCTCTTGTCAGAAAGAATAGCCCCATGTTTGTTCAAAGCGTTATAGTCAAAACTGTCAAATATATCCCCTTAAAATCTGCAGCTGAATAGCATCAGGAAATGATTATATAAATTGCTGGCTACAAAAGTACACCACACTTTTCAGTTAAAAGTGTTTTCAAGACATTATCTTAGTTAGTGTTTACACAAGTTAAGCATTTATTAACATTTCTGGTTATATTTTATAATTTTCTAGATAACCAATTAGAGCCTAGTTTCTCTTCCATCTGCAAAAATGTCTGCTTTGTTAAATATTTAATTGCACACTTTATTTGTCTGTTACAACCTTAGGCTATATATAAGTGCTTTGTATTAGTTGCAGTGGTTAGCCTAAAGAAAACATCCTATATTGCACCATGGAGCCCCTCAAATGTATAAATCTGATCAATAAAATAACACCCAGATTGAGCATTGCATATGGTAACAAAGTCTGCCTTGCAGGGAATATGCATGTCATCTGAAGAAAGGGAAAGAAGCGCGGGAATCCTCCTCATTACCTGCCAACTGCACAAGACCCGATCTATAGTGAAGAGTGATCTCACCATATGCGCTGTAGTGGGATTCAGCGTGCCACTACAACATGCACACAAAGACTGCAGCTTCTCTCTTCCCAGATCACCAAACCTGAGGATGCGGGACTTTATTTAAGATCGAGAATTGGATAATTTTTTTGTATAAGGCATCTGTAAGTTAGACATATTGGATCCTCCCTGTTTATATTTTGGAGAAACCCGGGATTTGGTGCGGGAAAGTCGGAGTCCTCGGCTGCCTGTTGGTGCACAAAGACGCGCGGGTCGTTGTTGGATTCAATCTGCAGTCCACTTAACAGCAACTGCATTGCCACTAACGTGGGAGAATATGTATGTATTATGAAACTAAGCGCCTGGAGCTTTACTTGTGAACTCTTTGAGGATCACCACGCTTGCATCTACATAAGGAGTGAAAACCATCACTCTTTAAAACAACTACAATGTGGTACGCAAAGTAAGTAGAGGAAATGTTGCCTCCAAGCTCAGCAGGACTGTGACTTCAAGCGCGTGGCCGCCGACCCGTGAACGCTGCACTCGATGTGGAGCTTGTCGCTGTCCGACGCGCGTGTGGTGCTGAAATTTGGATGATGCCCAGCCTGCGACTGCAGGGCTGCCGCTCCCTGCACCTGAACGAAGACAACGGGCGCTTCGTTTTGCTCGCCGTCCTCATCCTGGTGTACCTGCTGTGCGGCGCTGCAGTTTTCTCAGCCATAGAGAGGCCCTCGGAGCTGCGGGCTCACGGCCGCTGGAACGGGACGCTGCTTAACTTTAGTGAGACGTTCAACATCAGCCTACAGGAGCTCAACTCTTTTCTTCGGGAGTACGAAGCCGCTATAGCCGCCGGGATCCGGGCTGATGCACTAAGACCGAGATGGGATTTTACAGGCGCTTTTTATTTTGTTGGAACTGTGGTGTCGACTATAGGTGGGTGATGTTTGCAACTGCTTACTTTTGACCTTTGAGTCCATTTTGCCATATCTGAAGAACAAAAATCCACACACCATTGTTAAAAATAGCCTCTCTGTTTATAAGATCAGATCAACGAGAATCAAATAGGCTACATAATTTCAAAAGCTTTTTTCTGCCTATGATGCATGTTTTTTTTTTTAAACTTAACTGAAAAAGTAAATTAAATCCCTCCTGGGCAAGGCGAGGTCCTGCAGGTGTTTGGGGGGCATGGGTGTTAAAGATAGGCTAAAATAATTTGGTTGTACAAATCTGAACAAATCTGAACAGCCTTAACATTCAAACTCACCTAAAATAAGGGTCAGAACTCACATAAAATGCTTCTGATTAACCTCAGAAAAAGTTCTGCTCTTCTAGTGAGGCCCTTTTTTTGGTGCATTCCACAGCAAATGCCATTGTCCATTGAGAGCTTTATGAACATTAGACGGATTTAAATCACAAACAGTATTAGTCAGGACAAAGATACACTTTAGGAATAGGTTGGATGAAAAATAATCTAGTTGTTTAAACCAATTTTCTGACCCAGCCGTCAGTTTCTGATCAACCAAATTATTTGGTTATCCAAATAACCAATAAAAATGGTAACAGTTGGTTTACTATTCTGACTGTTTGGCTGTAGTCAAGTGCAGTGTGTAGAGAAGAATTACAATGATGTCCACATATGCAGCATGCTAATCTCAGTTTTAACCTTGGTTGTAACATTAGTATTAAGTGGTATTAAATTTCAAATATTGGTGTTGTGACAGTGGTGTTGGATGTAGGAGTTTGCCCTTCAACAAGATGATTGTTGGTTTAAGCCCTGGCCTTGGTTTTCAAGCTAACTATATTACTTAACCAATATTCTGGTCAAAGTGACCAATTTGTATTGATTTATAGAACTGGTTAACAAGACAATGAAATTAGATAGTTTTTTTTTATGGTTAGAGGATGTTGCCATGAAGCCTAATGCAAAAATTTCCAGCAAGTATTTACCATGTAAAAATGCAACAAAGATCTCCTATACAGCTGAAATGTGATGACATGAAACAAGATGGACCTCTCTTCTTAAGAAATTAGGAAATATAGTCTTGTTAAAAATGAACAAAGGCACATTTGAAGTCTGCTAAAGCACATTGAACCATTTCTGATGAAATCCTCCCGAGCCATAATCATGAATAACAAATCCACCAAAAAAGGAAATACTGTATTTTCCAGTTATAGAGTGCAGATCACTATAAGCTACTTTTTTTTTAAACGCACCCAGCTATGTGCCGCTCATAACTACTGAACTTTAGTAAGAGCTTCTAAGGAAAGATGGGGCTTCATCAGGTCTTCATTTCAGCTCTGTAGGAGTTGTGCACAGTCAGTTATTTTACTTGACAGCTTTAATGCAGCAAATAAATGACAAAATGAGTGAATTCGGGACGTTTGTTCTCTGTTGTGCCTGCTGCTAGCATGAGCTAGCAATATGCTATATGTAAGTTAGCCCCTTCTTAGATTTCCAACATCCACCACCGGCAGTTAGGAAAAATCCACATAAAAACCCCACCTTAGTATAAGCAGCATTGTTCCAAGCATGGGAAAAGGCAGCGGCTTATAGTCTGGAAAATATGTTATTTTATCTAAAGATTTAAAAAGCTCTTTGAAACCACCCAAAAAAGGAGACCAAGCAATATAACATTGAAACCATAAATACATTCAACAAGATCAGAGAAGATATTTTGTTTGGTTAAAGAAGAAAAGTCCTGTTCCTTCTTTGTCTTCAGTTTGTATTAAAAAAAAAAAAAGAATTGGGTGATGGCGTAAAGGTGCAAAGTAGCAGATTCCAGAGTGCTGGTGATACAACAAAAAAATGTTGTGTCACTGAAATGCTATGCCAGCCGGGCGAAGCATTTCAGCTAATCACTGGAGGATCCAATTTAAGCTTATTGAATGATCCCAATGACCTTACATGTAGAGAAATGCCTAAAGATTAGGAAAAATTAAAGATGCAAAGTTCCATCCTTCCATCTATTTTCTGTCACGCTTATCCCAAGCTGGGTTGCTGGTGTCTGCAGCTGTCTACAGGCGAGAGAGGTTGCCAGTCCATCAGAAGGCAACACAGAGACAAACAACCATTCACACACACCTAAGGAGAATTTAGAGAAGCTAACAGTCATGTTTTTGTTTATGTGGGAGGAAGCCAGAGTACCCAGAAAGAACCCATGCATGCTCAGGGAGAACATGCAAACTCCATGCGGAAAGACCCTCCAGGCAGGGAATTGAACCCAGGACTTTCTTGCTGCAAGGCAGCAGTGATACTCACTGCGCCACTAAGCAGCCAAGGAGGCAAAGTTATAAGACTCTTACAAAACGGTGTAACATCTATACTTAACAATTGGCCAACGTAAACAACATATAACAAGGGTCATGTGCATATCTTTGTTAGGTGTTGGTTAAAATACTGGTGGCTGCATTCTGGATAAGCTGAATGTGATTTGTCCTCAACTGGGAGACCCTTGCATAAATAGCTTCATGACATTTCAAAAAAGGCTTTACTTTGGTCAAAATGCAAATGATAAAGAATATGTCCTGAAAACAGAGTCAGTCAAATTGTTTTAATGTTAATTCTCATCAAATATTACTGATGACTTTCTATCAGTTTTCCCTCAGTTGGACTCAAACGCAAGTAAAGTGGTGCTGCCTCCAAATAAAATTAATTAAATTTGATGTCTACAAAAACTAAAATATTCCAGCTAAACCACTGCTGGATGGCAGTAATTTAATCCAGTAGCCAATGAAATGCATAGCAACAACTTGGTTTAAGAGACCATTGGTCATGTATGTCATCTGCATGGAAGTGAAAAGATAAATAATGCGAGGTTCTAACAGATCTGTGTGGCAGCATGTTGTAAAAATAATAGAGGGACAAGAATGGAGCCTTGTGGAATTGAACATAAGAGGAGTACTAGAAGAGTTAAAAGTTTTAAATTGGCAGCGACACAACATTGTAGCATGTGAGAGAATGATACACTGCATCAAAGGCTGCTGTGAGGTCCAACCACACCAAGATCATTGGGAACTTTAAAAAAAACAGACATAGCTATATCATTATCTTGTTTAAAAAAAAAAGTGTTATTACTGTCTTGATCTAAACCTAGACTGAAGTTGTTTTAAAAAGAACATTTGTATTTTAAAACCTTAGACAAAAAAAAATAAATTCTAAAAGTTGTTAAAAAATTATTCAATAAATAGTGTTGCGTCAATGCCATTTTGTGGCACTGATACCGATACTCGATACCTGGGTGTGCAGTATTGGCCGATACCGGTACCATACCGATACCATCTGTTTGAAATTGATGTGTGCGTGTGCATATGAAGGACTGCATACTACTTGGATGTACAATAATTGCCATCATGGCTTTGTCAAGCTGCTGCCTACCTTTGTGAAGCAGGAAAAAGACTAATACAAAGTGAATCCAGTAGAAGTTTTATTGCCTACCTGGAATGGATGACAATAGTTGAATAAACTTTTGGCTCTCAAAATGGTATCGGTGCCCTATTTGTTGGTACTCGCCAATACTGATACCACCATTTTAATGCTGGATCGGGGCCCTGTCCGATACTGGAATCTGTATCGGTGCAACACTAGTCTTAAATTCAGCATCTTTCATCCCAGTTAGCTGGGTTTCTCACGTTAGAATAATAAAGGTCAGGCTAGCACGTGGCAACAGTAATAAAATCTTCTTTTATTAATTAAGATTTAAGACAGTCAAAAGCGCTATTATAAGGCCTAATAGGTTGCAGACTCTATTCTACAAAAAGGAAAGCCATTGGTTTTAACTGTTCCAATAGAGATAATACAGCAAGAGCAGTTGAAAGATCTAAATTAGTAGATGAGCCAGTGATGCATGTAACAGATGCCTCTTTATAGAATAGTGGAATAGTTGTATACACTGGTACTGATGTGTATATTAGAACCAGGGTTGAACCAGGGTTGGACAATTATTGTTGGTAATTAAATCAGAAAAAAGAAAACATATTTGACCTCCCAAAAATCTCTAATACTTAAACTGTTGTTAGCATAAAGGTGGAGTAAATTCTGAAATTATTTCTATTTTTTAATATCTCCCTTTTAATATGAAGACCTGAGATTTTAACAGGGGCGTGTAAATGTTTCATATCCTCCATACACTCAAGAGTCTTATAAAGCTGAATCAGAAAGCAAAAAGAAAAAAAAAATCCAAATACACAGTAATAACCTCAAACTATGAAGACTTTAACAATAAAGTATTTTTTCACCAGATGGGTTTTTTGGACCACCTGTCTTTCTAAATGGTTAAATAATCATATCATTACTTTCAGTCTGGATATCTGAGGGTCTGGAGCAGCCTCCCTGTGGAGCACTTCCTTTCCACTGGCTCATACGCTGAATATCAGATTAAACTGCTCAGTTTTTAGTTCGCTTTTTTCTGTTCATGTGTTCAAATTGGCTCTGATGGACTTTAGAAATGGGGGCAACATCTGATTTGTTTGCCATTTGGAACTGCTCACTCATTGCTGGCTATAGGACAGCACCCATGGGTGCACCCTCTCTATTTTTGCCACATTTCTCATCAAACTAAGAAGAATGTCAATGAGAAGCCCCTTCCATTCTCCTCCCCCCATTTAACATTTACTCATGCAATAGGTCAGAAAAGAGCAAGTGTACCTCCCAGGGCAACTCCAGGGCCAACGGTGTAATGCTCTGCATGCCTGATGGCTCTGACACCCATTTTCTACCCATCCATCGTCAGGCAGATACGGCCCCTACAAAAAATATTTAAATCCCTTTTTTTAACATTTGTTATGACATGTAAACTTTATTTATCGAGATCTCATAGAATTGACCAGCAAAAAAAAAAATTTGATTTGTGACATGAATGGAAAAGAATACTCTGTAATGTGCCTTTTTATTCGGCAATTTTTTATCCTGATACCCTTAAATAAAATCCTCTGCA